AATCTGTGTTCAGAGCGAATCAGGAGCTCATCCCTATATGTTTTTATTGATGTGTGCAAAAGATGCCTTTTTGTAATACAGTTTTGGAAGAAATTAGTTATTGTGCATGTATAATTGTAGGTGCTATTGTGCATGAATAATTGTAGGTGCTATTGTGCATGTATAATTGCAGGAGTAATGCTTTTTTCCAAGCATGTCATATGGTAATTTCCCTAAGAAACCAGGAAGCAATTATGCATCTTAGAATGCAGACTGAAGGATAAAAGGCTTTTATTCTTACATGTGTATTATACATCAAGTAGGAATAGGTTTTTTTTTTTTTTTTTTACAGATTTGTATGGCCTTGTACACAACAGTGTGGTGGGAGCTAGTAGTGAAATGTGTCCTTGTGAAGTGGAGAATATGTTTGGGGCTCAATTTTTTCAGTCAAGTGCTTGAAGCTACAAAGCCTTTTGCGCAGAACACACTTTTAAACCTGGTAAACTTTGTTTATCAAATTACCCCTGAAAGCAATTTTGCATTTTGTGATAAAAAAGAAAGTTTAACTTTGCTAACAAAAAAAAATGAAAAGGAAAAAAAAGAATACAGAGCATGTCAATCCTTTCATTCACTATTTTTTTTGTATTTTTGTATTGTTTACTTTTAAGCTTTAGGTTTGCCTTAAGGAAGTCATATACATGGTTGCAAGAAAACAATTAAAAATTATTTTAATTTGTGATTTTTATAGCTCATCAATTTAAAACAATATACATGTTTTAGACATTTTCATATCTTTAGGTCTGATTTACATGGGTGTCTAAAGCTGGCCATAGATTATTTGTTTTTTTTTGTTTTGTTTTTTTTTTTCGATTAGCCAATTGGCTGAATGAAAAAAAAAAACGAATGGCTTCCACACAAGCAGGGGCGGACTGACCATTTGAGCACTCGAGCACTGCCCGAGGGCCCGGGGTCAGTAGGGAGCCCCATGAAATGCTCCTGGTACCTTTCATTGGCTTTTTCATAGGCTTTTTTGGGTGTGGGCGAGATCACAGGGGCCCCATGATCCCCTATTGCCCGGGGGCCCCATGAGTTGTCAGTCCGCCCCTGCACACAAGTGAGGTGGATGGAGGAATCCTACTCACTGGGACATTGTATTCTGACAGCAGGACTCTCCACTGTCAGAATACACTGATTAGCGGAAGCAGCCAGTTGATCAAGAACAATTTTCCCACAAGCCCATTCAACGAAAATTGATCTAACGATCAACTTCTGTCAAACAGACATTGACACACATGGAATGAAATTCAGCCAGACCCTGCTGAACCAGATAAATTTCATTCCATCTACAGCCAGCTTAAAATGCTTACATTTAGATGCGTCCTTTAGTAATCAAGGAGGCCATACACACAGCTGCAACTACAAGTGAAAATGTGTGCTGCGTTTAGCTGCATCCATATAAAGTAGGGCATAGCTGGATCCAGGGTCACACAGATCTGCAGATCTTTCACATGTACATGAATGTAAACACATGTAAATATGTATAAACAGATGAATGCAACTAAGCACATTGAAACTGTACTTTCAGCAAATATTTAATACAGGATCTTCTGCTAGCTCTGCCAACAAGAACCTGCATTCTATGCAGAAAATACACCTATGCCAGTTTGACTAGTCTTAATGGGAAACTAGACTGTGGGGTCAGATGTGTTCCACATAACCTCTGCTCACTTCCAGCAAGACTTTCTTGGGATACAAGAAATATATGTGGCGCTCAGGTGCCTAACACCAGCAGGGGCGGACTGACAACTCATGGGGCCCCCAGGCAATAGGGGATCGTGGGGCCCCTATGTCCTTGCCCAAACTCAAAAAAGCCTATGAAAAAGGTACCAGGGGCATCTCATGGGGCCCCTTACTGACCCCGGGCCCTCGGGCAGTGTCCGAGTTTCCAAATGGTCAGTCCGCCCCTGAACACCAGTCAGCAGTGGACTGATGTAGGAAGAGAGAAGGCATGTTTTACTTCCAAGCTAAGAGTTGGTATTAGCAGGGGACCCGTATGCCTGTTGATATTTTGGTGATGTCAGCTCATATGCATAGTGCTTCATGATACTATTTTATCGTCAGGGTTGGGTATTTCATTCTGATTTGGACTGCAATTCATGGCAGTTTTTCACTAGCTATTTAAATAATATACCTCATCAATGGCAAACATAGCATGTCAATGTTATTTTACTGACTTTAAATATAAATTAAACATAAGCTGCATGTTACTATAAGGTATCATTCTTTTGAAGTTTCTTCCAAGGGCTGGCAGTCCAGATATAAAATGCTCTATATAACATGAAATGTCGTCGTTAATACTGACCATTTTACAGAGAAGTTTTTATTAATCACATATCTCTTCAAGGCCATAAATGTGGAGTACACATTAGACTGCGGTTGTTATTACAACGACTTATGAGTAATGAATACATTTATACATATAATAAAGGATAGTCTACTTTGTAAGAGGATTTCATTTTCCTGTTAAGTTATATTTTATCTGGATCTTTGATATGTATGACAGCAGAAAGGATTTGTAGTCTCTACAGGCTGTTTATGCCAATGGCCTTCTTAATAGCATCAAGTGCCCCTGGGCAAAGCAATGCACTGGGGCCCCTACCAGCCTGCCCTAATTTACGTAACTACTCTCAAGAATTAAAGTATAAACAGTTGATAGAATTAAACATATATTTATTAGTACTTTCCAAAAAAAATTGATTTTAAACAACAAGAAAACATGCTATGAATAAAAGACTAATCAACACAAAGGGCACAATACAGGGAGGCAGAAGAGCATTGTACGGGGGGGGGGGGGGGGGGGGGGGTCAGGATGGCACAATACTGGGATCAGGAGGGCACAGTACAAGGGGAGCCCAGGCCATCCCGGGACAGCTTAGCAAAAAGAGTGACTGTCCTGGCAAATCTGGGACAGTAATGCAAATATGATGTAATGGAAGATTATCATGGGGCCCACCTGCACCTGGGGCAATGTCCAGGGGTGTCCATGCATTAAGACAGCCCTGTTTATGCCTCCTGAAAAATATTCCGAGTATTAAATAGATTTATATATCTCCTTCTGCTTATTGTATTTTGTGACTGTGTTTGTGTATAATGCACCAGTGGATCTGCCTTCACTGGGTTTTCCCGTCGGGCCCTACTTTCCATTTTTCACTGAAATCCAAGTTGTTGTTCATGAATCAAGAAAATAAAGAGAATATGGTAAACTACTAAGGATGTTCATACCCAAAAGCGAAAAGTTACTAACAATTCACTTCCTGGTCTCTGAAATGTGGTCAGGTGGGTTAGAAGGACCAATCATGAGTGTTTTTATGTGCCAGCCCCCCTACCTATCAGAGTCATGGTTCCCAATTGTTTTTGTTCAGTGTGTGTTGGAGAAAACAGATTTTTGAGGGTATTCAGGGATGGCTAGATGCTGGTGACCATTGCTGAAAATGTCCATATTTACATTGAGTCATAGACTCTGTCCAATAGCAGATTTTGAAGACATCTTAAAGAGGTCTTTTTATTTAACACAAAATGTGCTCTGCAAATGTCTTAAGCATTCACTCCACTGTCGGGAAAATCATTTTGTATAATATGTTTATCGTCTATGATTGTTAGTGCCATCTAGTGAACATAAAGCATATTTCCTGACTGAGGTATTGAAGGAAAATACTGTATTATGACCACTAGAGAGAGCTGATGATTATAGGAAATAGGCATATTTGGCAAAATACAGGATTTTTTGTGACAGAGGAACACTTAGCACAGCAAATGTTTCATAAATAGTGTTTTTCCAGGGGGATATAGCCTTAGTGTCTGCAACAACTGCAGTTGCTGTTTGTCAGCTTACCACCCCTTGTTTTTATAGTTTATTTGTTTTTTTTTTGGGGGGGGGGGGGTTATTTTTTTTTTTTTAGTTAAGTTTTAAGAAAAGGGGTTGGGGATTAGTGCTTAGTGAAATTTAAAGACTGCACACACATTCACTCTGTATTTTTTCTAGCAAAATAAATGCACTGTGTTGCAGATTTTTTCTTTTTTTTTTAGTTAAATACTGACTGGTGTGTGTCCTGTTGACAAGGTGATTTATTCAAAGTATACCCTGCATGTACCTATTGAAATAATATGAGGGGCTTTTTACATGCTTTTCACACTGAAATATACAGTATATGAGTGTGACAATGTAACTTCTGAACTGCCCATGGAGTGGCGCTATGGTGGGGAGTCACACAGCCATTCATACTGGAACTTGTTCTGGCATGTTCTAATTTGCACTCACCTGGGTTGCAGACCAGTTGACTCAGTCTTTACAGAGTAGTAGAAATATACCGTGTGCATTGCGCTGTAGGTGGAGAGTGAGCTGCAGGGCTCTGGAGCAGTGGATTAACATCACATTTTCTATAAAAATTGGAAAAAGTGCAATTGAAACTTTAGCTCCATTACAACAGGCTTACAGTGAACATTCCATGAAATAATTAAGGGTTTTGAATGGCAGAGGCAGTTTAGCCCCTTGCCTACAGGACACTTATACCCCCTTCCTGCTCAGGCCAATTTCCAGCTCTCAGTGCTGTCACACTTTGAATGACAATTGCGCGGTCATGCAACACTGTACCCATATGACATTTTTATCATTTTTTTGTGCCAGATAGAGCTTTATTTCGGTGGTATTTAATCACCTCTGGGTTTTTTATTTTTTTGATTTTGTTATAAAAAATTTTAAGTGATTTTTCTCCTTCACTGATGTGAGCTAATGAGGCTGCAGTGATGGGCACTGATAGGCTGCACTGATGGATACTGATAGGTGGCACTGATGGGCACTGATGAGGAGGCACTGGTAGGTGGCACTGATGGGCATTGACAGGCATCACTGATGGGCAATGAAAGGCAGCACTGATACATGGCACTGATAGGCGGCACTGATAGGCGGCACTGACTGGCACTGACAGGCGGCACTGACTGGCACTGATAGGCGGCACTGAATGGCACTGTTAGGCAGCACTGATAGGAAGCACTGATGCGCACTGGTAGGCGGCACTGATTGGCAGCACTGATAGGTGGCACTGATTGGCATTGATAGGTGGCACTGACTGGCAGTGATGGGTGACACTGAAAGGCAGCTCAGATGGGCACTGATATGTACCATTGATGTGGCACTGATGGGCAGTGGCACTGATGAGCACTGGCAGCTGGTACTGATGGACACTGACAGGTGGCACTGCTGGGGCTACACTGATCATCAGGGCACACTGATCATCAGTGCCCTTGTTGATCTGTGTACAAGTTCCCTCCACGGAAAGCCGATTACCGGCTCTCCTCTCCTCTCGAGCTGTCAGCGTGACAGCTCGTGAGGATAGAAATGCCAATAACTGGCATTTCCGTGTTTACATGTGATCAGCTGTGATTGGACACAGCTGATCACATGACCGAGCCGACATCTTTGGCTCTTTCTGTGATTGGTGATCTGCTGTGTCCGAGGGAGCTCCCTGAGCCGCGCATGCGCGGTGAGAATGGGAGGACGTCATATTACGTCCTCCCAGAACAAGAGAACCACCTTGCGCCCGTCATATTACTATATGGCGGGCGGGAGGTGGTTAAGGAGGGGCATGAAGAAATTCATGATGACGCAAGAATTGGACAGTCAAAAACGCAAAGGACAGATGCAAATGTGGACAGTCCGAACCCTCGTATGCTCAGATTGAAGATTGAGTGTGTGAATGATAGCAAAAGAATTGAACATGAACAGGCAAACAGTGCAGCAGATTCTAATATAGAATTTGGGAATGAAAAAAAAGATGGTGCCTCAAATCTTGACAGAAGATCAGACAGAAAGCCGTCTTCAAATTTTATCCGATCTTTTGTAGAATGATGAGGGGTTGGATAGACTTACAGTATTACCACTCCAGGAATTAAATTGTCACCCATCATAGACTTTAATGCAGATTTTCTTATTCTTTCATATTAATAGCTTATTAATATGAGTCCTGTTGACAAAGAGGCCTAGTCAAAGTGTTTAGAAATGGCACACATACTAAGATACGTCTGGGGGCATTTTACACTGAGATATGCAGTATACTTGCAAGTTTATCTCTTGATTCAAAAATGGCTGGTGTGGGTGCTGTTGACAAATAGACTTAATCAGGGTGTAAATTCCTCTCTATGAAGTAATTACACTCTATTGCTGATTTCCAGATTTTAAAATGCCTGTTGGTTTTGTTCAGTATAGGGGCTAGTACAAGGGGTTCAATGCTCTTAACTGGGGCAAGTCCATAGTATAGAAGGATATACTTTGCTCATATTTCATGTCTGAGGTTTACAACCACTTTATTCGTACCACGTGAGACCATTGTAAGTCTCAACATCCATACAAGAAAACATATTGATTATACTGATTGCAGAAATGTATAGTATTTTATTACAAAATTATTAAAGTATTTTAAAAAAAAATTGCACCACAACCTATGCTACATGCATACAAGCACAATGTTATTGACACATCACAACTTTAGCTCACTATTTCCCTTTCCAATGTATCTCAAGTGGCTGTCAAGTAAGCAATAGTTTGTATATTTATGTCAATGAGTTTCTAAATTATCATCATAAAGGAAGCAAGTGAGAGGCCATGGTTAAAGGTTAGTTTTATCAGGAAATGTAGATGCATTTGTGTACACAACCAGTGATTGATGTTATTTACCATCTTGAATTAAAACCACATATATACTCTAATGTACAATGTCCTTAGGAAAGACGTAGCTAGGACCACAGTGGGCTAAATAGGGAGGTCTTGCTGCCACAGGTTACACCAAAAAGGATAGTGAAGTAAGATTTACCTTTGCTGTATACATCAAAATGCCCTTATTTCAGTGAAGTTCTGTAAACTGCTTTCTGTTATTTATATAAAGAAAAAGTTACGTGGTGTGGGTTATCTTCAAAATGTGACCAAGTAAATAAACTGTGCATAGAGTCAGTACAATATATTTTGTGCTTGTTTACTGTGAAATTAACACTCTAATTCTGATTTCTTGATTATAAACATTTACACCTCAAGTGCATGTAGGGCCACCAGTGGTCCAGTCTTGACACCCAAAAATCAATGAATGTGACCATTTAATAGGTTTAAAAAATACAGTTGGCAGAGGGGAAAATAGGTGGGTGGGACCATTGTTTGACTTTTGGCTTTATCAAAGGTTCAGTTTCTGTCCCTTCTATCTTTGTTTCAGGGACCTCTCTCTCTCCTTGAACAGGAAACTCCAATTTGGTTTTGTCTGCACTTCAGAAACATTCTTTTGTTTTTAAAGGGTTAGTTTACTTTTACCTGCCTGGTAGTGCAGGTAATGGGCACCTGTAGATAAATAAACACACTGTACAGCTTTGACTAAAGCTGGTTAACCCTTTGAGGACCAAGGGACGTATTTGTCCCATGTTTTTAATTGCGTGTATCATCTGATTAAGAACTTAAAACTCTTTTCTTTTTTTTTTTTGGTTTGAGTCAAAATATTAGTTCTTATCAACAAATAACAAATGGATCTAGCTTTTTGCCAATTATTTCATGAAATGGCTTAGTTACAGCAACTGAAGTGTACGAACTTTAAAAACAAAAAAATTGATTCTTTTGGCGTTCCAAAATCTTACGGTCCTCAAAGGGTTAATCCCCTTGCTATAGGTCTAAGCAGGGGCGGACTGACCATTTGGAAACTCGGGCACTGCCCGAGGGCCCGGGGTCAGTAGGGGGCCCCATGAGATGCCCCTGGTACCTTTTTCATAGGCTTTTTTGAGTTTGGGCAAGGACACAGGGGCCCCATGATCCCCTATTGCCTGGGGGACCCATGAGTTGTCAGTCCGCCCCTGGGTCTAAGCCATCAACATACCTCCCGTAGCCTGGCTGAAAAACTCCCAGAGATGGCATTATCCCATCTTGGCTTGATGCCAGAACATTGCTAAGATATCCCATACTGTTACTGCTCAAACCTCCATCACAGGAGTAAGTTCTCACACCCCTTCACATGTGTAGTTCACTATCTCCTTTGCCACAGCAACACTGAGCTCAGAGCTACTGTGACAGGGTAGAGAGAATGCATGCACGTGATTTTGAGCCTTTATTAAAAAAATAACTGCAAGCACTTCAGTATTTCTCTTAATTGCCAGCATGATTCTCTCCTCCATTTGCTGCTGTCTGCCCTTCCCCTATGTTGTGGAAGGGTGGGCGACCTATGACCATAAGTTTTATCCATGCAACTATGCGTTCAGTGTGAGGCATCCAGCCACTATGAGGAAAGACTTTCTTTGCACCACCTCTTCAGAGCGGAGAATCTTGGAGTTTCTCCCAATCAGCTGTTTGGTGCATAGCCATGTGTTTCCTCATATATGTGGTACCCAAACGGATAGTACCTTTATCACAGCTTATACGCTGCAGACAGAGTTTGTAGACCACAACAATCTTGTTGGATGCAGCGGCCCACACTCCAGAGCTCTTTCAATTTGCCACATATTCACTTGTGTACTATGCTGACACTAGCCAAATTCTATAAAACACGTGTCTTATGTCTATATTTTTTATATTAAGGGGAATTGGGGATGTAAATGGATTCAGAGAATGTGGGGTTGTGGTTTTGAAGTGTTTTGGTGAACTTTCTTTTGATATTTTATTAAATTTTAAAACAATACAGTGTGATACTGTGGGAAAAAATGTGGTGCCACTGGACAGTCTGTACAAAGTTGAGGGCTTTAGATTCACAATTTCCTATAGCATTTAGGTCTGTTGTAGCAACTACTCCCACCGTTCAATTTATGTCTGGTATCGGGTTTCGTGTTAACTACCTAAAAAATTCTATTAGTTATAATTAGTCTCGTAGTTTTTTTAGTCTAGTAGTTATTATGAATATATATAATGAGTGTTGCTGCTATTCCAAAACCAAGCAATATTTAAAAAAATGTATTACACATGCAAATTATGTGATACATAACATCAGCCACCCCTTCATATGACAATGCTTGGGCTTGAGCACTGTCATATGAGGAGGTCATACTCTCCCCTACATTTAGAAGCAGCAGGTATGCTGTGCAGGCTTAGCTAGAGGCAGAAGCGACAGGGAAGAGCCGTAAAGTTGAGTATCAGTGAGTTGGTGGGGACTTTTTACACACTCTATCTTTGCCCTGAATGAGTAAAATGGCTACATCTATTTAATACACATGCAGTAACATATTGTAACCCACTGCATAGATGTGAAGGGGACGTTACTGCTTCTTCTATTAAGCATTTTAATAAAATGACATGCTAAAGGGCATTTTCAGACTATTGCAATGAGGAAAGTTTGCTAAGATGTATATTTTTATGTGTATTATTGCAATGAAGGTCGACACATGCTTTCAAGTGTGATACGTTGTAGTGTCATTTATTGTGAATGGATCCCCAGTGCATTAAACAGTAATGGGCAATGCACCCACAATGTAGCAAATTATAAAGCACATTTTGTGTGGTGTGCTGCTTTAAGAAAAAAGGTTGTATACATTTTTGGATGTGTTTCAGTGCATTGGAAGCCCATTAGTAGTTAGTAAGTTGCCTTAAGACACTTAACACATAGCTTGATAATGTGAGTGCTTTTTTAATTTTTAATTCTTTTTTAAATAAAGGGTTCATGAAAAACAACTAGTATAGCATATAAAACTGCTATACAAGCCATATTGTAATAGAATATTAATAAAAAATTACCTTTTCAAACTGCAACAATGTATTTTTTATAGACAGTTGGTGTACAGAAATCCCCCAAAAATGTAATTTGCTGCTAGGCTGTAGAACCCTGCACTAAGGTACAAGTTAGGTTTTAGGCATCCTCTGCAAAAAAAATGTAATTTTTATTGAGATACTTCCTAAGCATTCATGGTATTGATACATAGGTGTCAATACCATGTGTTTATGCAATATTCATTCATCATTTCTAAAGGCTCATAACCACCCACCATGAATATTACAATGGCACCAAAGCGCTGTTCATACAGGGGCAGTAGCATTGTGTTATGTCTTGTCGTGTTAAAAAATTAAGCAGCATGTCACTTTCATGAGGCATGGGCGCTTGTCAACCAGTTCCATTGATTTCAATGCTCTATAACCGCACCCTAACACCTAGAGCATGGTGTGTTAGTGAAGCATTTATGAAGTGTTATTTGGGTATAAGGAGAGAGATCGTGGAGGCTCCTGTATCCCAGAATGCACTGGAAAATAAAAGAGAACAAGTACAGACAGAGCAAACAATGGTAATGCCCTTTGCTTTTGTGTGTAGGCAAAAACAACAAGACAGTCACCAATACTGACAGTGCCAAGTAGGAGTGGATGCATTAAGAATTGTCAGTGGCAAAGCTTTTTGTGTCAGCAAAAGACCTCATCAGCAAATGTCCTGAAGGCTGATATTAATGTATTAGTACTCATAGAAGAGGTGGAACAGTACCTGGAACTATACCATCCAACAGGGGCGGACTGACAACTCATGGGGCCCCCAGGCAATAGGGATCATGGGGCCCCTGTGTCCTTGCCCAAACTCAAAAAAGCCTATGAAAAAGGTACCAGGGGCATCTCATGGGGCCCCCTACTGACCCCGGGCCCTCGGGCAGTGCACGAGTTTCCAAATGGTCAGTCCACCCCTGCCATCCAAGTATCCCAAGCTATTGTAACACATGCAAAAAAACTGATCTGGCAACAAGTTAACAAGCAAGTCCTATCCTGAGAGTGGGAAAAACTGTCCTTCAGGGAGCAGGAGAGCAATAGCGAGTTTGATTACATGGCTGCTGTTTTTTCACTTTACATAATTATTGTAATATATCCTAAATCAACATGTCAAATTAGATGATTTCCTCTACATCATTTCCCTTTATGCATTTCCCACTAGAAAAGCAATGCTTCCATGGGCATTTATTGGGCATTCTTGAAGCATTTCCAATGCTTCATAAACACAACTAAAACATCATACATGCCAAAGGAGTGTTAATGAGCATTGCTTCATTCTTCTTCACAACACATGTGTGAACAAGCCCTTAATGTCAAAAGAAAGTGCCCTAAATCACCTACAAGGCTTGGTTCACACCTATGTATTTTTTTTGTGTTTTGCAGAAACTCACTACAGTCCATTTAACATGATTTCCTATGGGACACATCCACATCTATGTGTTTTCAGCCGCTGCATTTTTGGACAGGGTCAGCGACTTTTTTTCCCGCAGCAGATTGCAACATGCATAGGTGTGAACCAGGCTCAAAGTGATGCAGATACTGCAACTTTTCTCTTTAGAACTCTGAGAGTGCACCAACTAATTAAAATGAATTTGTCACCCCCATTCAAAATCTACTGCTAAACAGTGTTTTCTGCAGAGCAGAAACAGGTAGAAATCAGAAACAGAGTTTGGCAAAAATCCTTGCAATGTACATTTATCACCCAGAAAGGATTGTTTTTTTCTCAACAACAATGGAGTTACTCTTTAAAGAGTAATTTCAACTTTTAAATTTAAGAAACAACTACAATATGTTGGTCTTTTTGGAGCAATATCAGGATCTAAACATACCCTTGATGTTTCCCCTTTGCAATAGATAAAAAGATTAGGGACACATAGCCCACAATCTTCTTGTCCCCTTCCACCTGGCACTTACTAACAGTGAACATGGAGGACAGGCATGAGGCCAGGATGCTTGTCTCATCACTGATCACTGGGGGGAGATCATCTCTGCAGAGTGAGGGCACCCAAGGGGAACTGCATGCTGAGAAGTGTTGGCAGAGATATTAGGCAGCATAGAGCACACGGAGGAGATCAGACAGTGGGTAACACATGGGAAGGATCAGATTGCAGGTAGTACACATAGCAGACATCCAATAAAGAAAGTCAAGAGGAGGGAAAAAAGCTGGGCCATGGTGATGGAAGGAGGGAGTCCACATATTTTATGAATGGCAGGTATTCACAATTATTCATTAATTGACAAGGTCTGGGGGATCACTCTGTTAGCTCATGGTTGCTGCAGTGAGTACATAGCCCAATGGAATGCAGTCATCATAATACTTACTAAGCCAACCTACTGCAAGCAGTTCCCCTCTGCTGTATCTCTTAAAAGGGTTAAATAAAAAACTAGCGAAAATTAATACTTATTGTACTTTTATAAGGCATATGGTTTTTAAAGAGTATTCATTATACTCAGGACATTCATAAGAATATGCATTTGATGGGCTCCAGGGAAAAGCGGCCATGTGAATGGTTAGGTGACATTAGGCAGGTATTTTAGATCATGATTTTGAAGACATAATAGTACAGGGGCACTAGAAACATGTGTGGTCTAGTAATTATTAGACTCTGTACATGAAAGAAATTTAAATAACATCCCTATCTCTAAACCAAAACTGATGTTTATGCAGTTACTAGCAAGCTGAATCCCATGTTGGCTTTATATACAGTAGTTCCACCTAACTCCTGCAGTTACAGTATAACAAACCCAAATTATGGTGTCACACTCCCCACTGAATTCTCCGTTTTCCATATTTGCTATTTGGTCTTTCATCTTTTGAATTTAGAAAGATTTAACAGCCTGATGACAATTATATCATAAGCAGTACATAGTTTTCAGCTTGGTACAAAGAAATTGACTATTAACAAAATGTTGAAATCTCTCTGTTCCTAAGAAATGTGATCATTATCCCTAGCCTAATCCAACTTCAAGAACTTTTGCCCCTGACATTTGTAGAATAGGAGTATAAAAAAAAACACCACTGGGGTCATCAAGTAATAAGAGAATCTAGTTGGTGATTCAGCCCACTGGTGCCCACCTAAAATATATACAGTATTAGGCCATAAAGCATTTAATATACTCTCAATATCATTGATTCACATTGTTCTACAAGGATGATTTACTGATACAGTTAGGGGTCATTCACTCATTTCTGCTAAATAATAAACAACATAATAAATACATGTGCCCAATAATAATATATATACAAATGTATTTATTAGTACTCACTGGAAGTGTTTATTGTTTTTTGCAAGAATAAGCTAAAATCTCATTATTTTCCATGACTCCACATATTACTTGGATCATTTAATATACAAATGAGTAGTGTTCATTTAGATAGAAGCACAGGAGCCTCAGGAAGTAAAACAAGGAGAAAAGCTTGCCTTTAGCAGCCAGCAATTAAATTCTTCCCTTCTTAAAATATAAAATAAAGTCTGCAGCTTGCAACCTTCTGAACAGGGTAACATACATTACTGCAGATTGCCAAAAATATTGGGGCGCCTGCCTTTACACACACATGAACTTAAATGGTATCTCCAGGGTTCAATATTAAATAGTTGGCCCACCCTTTGCAGCTATAACAGCTTTAACTCTTCTGGGAAGGCTGTCCACAAGGTTTAGGAGGGTGTCTATGGGAATATTTGACCATTCTTCCAGAAGAGCATTAATGAGGACAGGCACTGATGTCGGACGAGAAGGCCTGGCTCACAGTCTCTGCTCTAATTCATCCCAAAGGTGTTCTATTGTGTTGACTTGAGGTCAGGACTCTGTGCAGGCCAGTCAATTTCCTCCACCCCAAACTCGCTCATCCGTGTTTTTATGCACCTTGCTTTGTGCACTGGTGCACAGTCATGTTGGTACAGGAAGGGGCCATCCCCAAACTGTTCCCACAAAGTTCAGAGCATTAAATTGTCCAGAATGTCTTGGTATGCTGATGCCTTAGGAGTTCCCTTCTCTAGAAATAAGGGTCCAACCCCAACCTCTGAAAAACAACCCCACACCATAATCCCCCCTCCACCAAACTTTACACTTGCAGTCAGGCACGCACCATTCTCCAGGCTACCACAAAACCCAGTGTCAGGGATCCCGGCGCCTCGGCGGTGCGCGCATGCGCAGAGCGCCGACTCGTTCGATCCAGCGAGCACTGAATCCTAGGCAATCACGGCGGCGGCCGCACATGCGCACTAGCGATCGCGGCCGCACCAATGAGAGCACAGGGCGGCCTATTTAAACCTGCCCTGTGCATCTCCAAATCGCCTTCTGGTCTTGTCCTGTTCCTGTGTTCCTGATTACTCCTGTGTTCCTGATACCTTGTTGCCGACCCAAGCCTGCCCTGATACTGCTGCCTTCTCCTGCTCTGACCCCTGGCTACGTCCTGACTATTCTTTACCTGTTCCTGATTGCCTGACCTCCTGTTACTAAACCCGGCTTGTGACCTGTTATTCTTCTGCCTGCCGCTCTGCACTGTCTGCTCCGCTGTTACTGACCCGGCCCATCTGACCACGCATACCTCTTCACGTCTGGCTCTCACCTGCTCTACACCATTGGCTTCCGCCTCTACCACAGCTGGTGTTCCTCGGAGGTCACAATCTGGTCTCAGGCTGCTTCAAGTCCATCCCCACCATCAGGGGCTCTGGTGAACCAGCAGACTGAGGCTTAGACTCCGCGCCCTGGGGGATTCCGGCCAGTGGGCTGCTAGAGGCTACCGCCAGTCGGTCGCTGACACCCAGACACGTCCATTGAATTGCCAGGCAGAGAAGCGTGATTCGTCACTCCGGAGAACATGTCTCCGCTGCTCTAGAGTCCAGTGGTGGCGTGCTTTACTCCACTGCATCTGACGCTTTGCATTGCACTTGGTGATGTAAGGCTTGGATGCAGTTGCTCGGCCATGGAAACCCATTTCATGAAGCTTTCCCACACACTTTTGTTGTGTTAATCTGAAGGCCAGCTGAAGTTTAAAGGTCTTTAGGTATTGACTCTGCAGACGGTTGGCAACTGTTGTTCCCAGTTGCTTCCACTTTGTTATAATACCACTAACAGGAATATTTAGTAGCAAGGAAATTTCACGGATGGACTTATTGCACAGGTAGCAACCTATCACGGTACCACGCTCGATTTCTCTGAGCTCCTGAGAGCGACCCATTCTTTCACAAATGTTTGTAGAAGCAATCTGAATGCCTATGTGCTCGATTTTATACATCTGTGGCCATGTAGGTGATTGGAACATCTAAATCCAATGATTTGGAAGGGTGTCCCAATATTTTTGGCAATATAGTGTAGATCAATTTTCACCATGTAACCATCCTGCTAGTTGTATTTAAGACACTGCCACCTTATGATATGTATTGTATTGTCATAGGAAAAGTATGTATTAGAATGTTGTCATGTCAATTTTGGAGTAATTAGATGTGGTTTTGAGTAATGTAATAAATCTAATAAAATATAACCTATTTACCTTTATGCTGTGGTTATATTTTATTATTTCTTGAGTCTAATTTAAAACCATGTGATGGTACTTATTTAACATGATAATGTCATCCCTTTTTTAGGAGGTTATAAAAGCCTCTGCACACACCTCATGATTTACAGAGGTTTCTAGCAATTCATGTTTTTTTACAATCCCAAAAAAAGCAAGCACTGCTAGGATATTTCACATTCACAGCATAGGTGTGATAAACTTTTAGTGCTAAGCAAGGTGGGCTGTTTTACTCTAACTGAAATCAGTGTAGTGTAGATATGATGATTGGCCCTAAGTTCATTAGATCATTAAAATAAGATGGTATAAGAAGCTTTTTAGTGCAGTCAAAAGGTGCAGATCCAGCAGTCCAAGCCTCGTGATTCTCAAGGGCAAAAACAAATATGAAACTGTTGTAACCCCTGTAGTATAGCAAACATGTTACAAACTATATATTTACATACAATAAAATAAAATATACACAAGCATAGTGGGGTTGACTTACTAACACGGCAGAGTCCAAAATCTGGTGCAGCTCTGCATAGAAAACAATCAGCTTCCAGGTCTTTTTTTTGTCAAAGCTTAATTGAACAAGCTTAAGTTAGAAGCTGATTGGCTACCATGCACACCTGCACCACATTTTGAAATCTCTAGTTTTAGTAAATAAACCCTACTATATTTATAAAGCAATCATTGGCACGTTCATGGGGTGTCTGTGTGTGTGTGGGGGGGAGGGCACATTCCCCACCAATTCGCCAAACGTATTCACCAGAGATAATTAGTAATAAAGAGACATGGCTGAGCTGGCCAGAACTCTCCATTTCCTTACAAAGTGTTGACCCCAAAAGGTTTAACATTTTACCTTTTTTGTTAAGGATGTTAAACAAAACATTTAGCCTGTCAGTAACTGTTACTGTAAAAGAGAAATATGACCATAGCTTTTCAGCCATACTTCTCTTTTGGGTCACAGGAGTGCATTTACTTTGTTCTCCTGTGACCCAAAGTAAGTTGATAGTGGGCTGTTGCCTGCTATCAACTGACGTCACAAAGCCGCACCAGACTCTGGAAGGATCCCAACCAGGTGCGGACTGACCATTTGGAAACTCGGGCACTGCCCGACAGCCCGGGGTCAGTAGGGGGCTCCAAGAGATGCCCCTGGTACCTTTTTCATAGGCTTTTTTGAGTTTGGGCAAGGACACAGGGGCCCCATGATCCCCTACTTCCCGGGGGCCCCATGAGTTGTCAGTCCGCCCCTGATCCCAACCATATTGTCCGGATCCACCCAGCATGTGGCTGAGAGCCGAACCAGCTGTTCCCCCTTCGCTCACCATCCTGGCACTCACGCGATCATCGGTCATGTGATCGCTCATTTCCTTAACTTAGAATAGGTGGGGGAGCATCACACTGATGCTGCAGCATGGAGATGAGTATGTATATACTCCATTAAAATGTCACCATATTCTCTATAATATCAAGGAGAAACTAGAAAGTATACCTTCTTAGAGTTCTATGCATCCATTCTGCACTTCTCAGCTTTAGTATGAGAAGAGTGAAATGAGAATCAAAACAGATCCAAGGCTTAGAACAAGGATGAAAAGGCAAAGTGCAGAACATAATTATACACTGCTGGATACGCTCAGTTAATGTGATACATTACATATACAGTATAGTACTGTCCAGGGGCGGACTGACCATTTGGAAACTCGGGCACTGCCCGAGGGCCTGTGGTCAGTAGGGGGCCCCATGAGATGCCCCTGGTACCTTTTTCATAGGCTTTTTTGAGTTTGGGCAAGGACACAGGGGCTCCATGATCCCCTATTGCCCGGGGGCTCCATGAGTTGTCAGTCCGCCCCTGGTACTGTCTGCATTATTTAACTCTCCCCTTACCTGCACATTATTTAACTGGTGAGAGGGCCAAACAGCCTTTTAAACCAGTTCATAAGGAGGGAGGATGCACATAAATCCCCCAGTGCCTTAACCCCAACTTGGAAAATCAGGGTACTTAAGAGTCCTGTGCAATCGAGAAGAACCTCCAGTAAAACCTTTTTAATCCACCAAAGTACCCTCAATGCTAAAGGGCATCTAGCCTGGTAACAACATATTGAAGTGCCACAATGCTGCTGCTCTCTTGCCCAGAGGATACCAGACCACCTGCCTAATGTGCCTACCAAGTAGTGTTGGCAGGTTAGGCAATATCTTTTTTTTTTTAACTGTAAAACTGTTTAAACCTGTAAAACAATACATCTACAAGTGCTGAACATTTACAAATAAGGTGCTATGGAAAATGGGTCCCTGTAGGCATTCACTGTGTTTTCATTATAATGCTGCAAATCTTGTAGCTCACCTCTCACTAGCTGCTAAACTGAATATCCTTAGACTGTGGACTTTCGCACAACCATCAAGCTTCATCAACACTGTTAACGATCTAAACCTCCAATGTTTAAATGAACAAATGATTGTACTGAAAAATCACTTTCAGAATCATTCACGCCTTCTTGTTCCACTTGGCTGTACAACCCTAACTATTCTATATGACTACTCACACTCACTCCCTAATTAGGCATACTAGTCCTTTCTGTTTTTATCACCTATTAGTTACCCCCTGTTCCTCTTCTTTTAAAATTCCTGTTTGGAATATGATCCTGGTGTTAGTTTGAGCACAGAGTATTTCACACATCTCAGTGTTCTTGACACACACTTGATGCCACTTGATAACATTGCACATCTATTCATTTTGTACCCTGTCATCTGTGATATGTTTATTGTCCTTCTGTACCTGCAATGACATCAACCATCCTTTACATGTGGTCTATAAAAAAGAACAAGTGAACTATAGACTGTTATAAATTGGTTCTGACATTGAATATGTGGTGAGTGTAACATTTAACCTATGAATAGGGTTAAAGATACAGTCATTACCTTTTCTCATTTTAGAACCGATGTTGGCAAATGTTATGGAATGTATTTTTCACTCGGAAATGTTTAGGCAATTGTGCTTTATAATTAGGATGAATGTTACTTTTTGAATGCAACAGCAAATCTTTCATGAACATTCTAAAACCTGGCCATAGATTGATTAAAATTCAGCTGATTCTGCAAAGACCAGCCCAATTTCAATCCATCTACGGCCATTGGCGCCTAACTAAAGTCAATCTAATCAACTTCTGTCGAAAGGGAATGTTGGAAAATTTCTGCTTGTGTGGATGAGTGAATCCTTTATTTTTGTGGATGGGGAAATCTGTTAATCTGTTTTTGGCCAAAACAAACCATCAATGGGCTTACAGGGGCTATACTATCTACCTTCATCTATAAGGGCATCACACAATTCGCAAAAGGTACTCTTTACATCTGGACTTACCTGAATTCATATCTATCTGTATCTTCTATTTACATTAAACAAACACCAGTATATTTTGTTAGGGAAACAGGATAGCAAAAATGCATCTAAGATATCTAAATTTATAGGGGCAAATTGAGAATAATAAAATAGCTAATGCTTTATTCTGAAATATTTTGTACCATATGTCTTGGAGGTTTTCAGAAGAAAATTTAGTTAAAATACATTTTCTATTTCAGCCAATTCCTGGCCAGAATCACTTAGCATCTTCCTGGAAGAGTAATTAATCACTTATCCCATTAAATTCTATGGACAAGATTAATCACCTGATGTTTATACTAAGTGCACAATGATTTCATTGCCACAAAGGGCAATTTAAATACTGCAGCTATGTTTAATTGGCAGTGTAAAAAGGGCAGTATTAACTTATAACATATAAATGTTTCCTTTGAGATGTGCTACACAAAAACATTCTATTATTGATTACCGCAGTAAATTCCTGAATTGTGAAGTCACTTTTTTACGTTGGGGTGACTTACTAAATGGATAAACCTTTCACTTAACCACATGAATATATGTTTACTGTAAATGCTCAATAATGTGTAGAATTAAAAAAAAACAAAAAATTCCCTGGCACATGTTTAGATGATTAAAGTAAATACAGCTCCATTGAGCTAAGCAAAATATGTGTTGGACTAGTAAATCAACCCCCCAGCATCCTGTGACATTTAAGGCCTGATGTGCCCTTAAAACAAGCCATTTATGGTTAAAGTGGTAGTAAACCCCAAACCAAAAATGTAATATAATAATAATAAAATAATAATAAGCAAACTTATATAAATAAATAAACGAAAAATAAAAAATATATATAAAGTCCCATACACCTAGAGTCCAAAATAAAGTCCAATTTAAAAATCCAAATCCAAAAAATTCTTGCAAGTGATTTCCCAATAAGTCTTTCTCCCCGAATCAGATTGATGGTATACTCCAGAGAATCTTCATAAACCTCAAAGAAAAAAGATCTCAACATAGTATATTACCGCAAATATTAAAATAAAGTGCCACACGTGTCACATGCAAATACACAAAAAGTGCCACAGCAATCGTGAGATCTCAGGACTCTAATAATTCAATTAGTAACTCCACTGCACACAATATAAAAAGTGCATAATTACCCTAACATAGATAAAATCAGCATAAAATCCATAGTACAGATGAGAATGCATCCAAACATTGTTCTACCATCTTCTCCAACCATTTCCCATAGACCTCATAAACAGACCAGGGATCAGTATGTATATTAAAAGATAAACATATTTTATTGTAGCAACTTACATTGAAATTTGATGAGAACAGCTTCCATAAAGTGAGATAGTCCAAAATGACCCC